CTGAAAACCAGAACAAGACAAGGATGCCCACTCTCACCCCTACTATTCAACATAGGGTTGGAAGGTCTAGCTAGAGCAATCAGACAAGAGAAGGAAATCAAGTGCATCCAAATGGGAAAAGAGGAAGTTAAGCTATCTTCTTCACTGACACTATGATCTTATACCTGGAAAACCAAACAGAATCTGTCAAAAACCTCCTTGCACTGATAATGGACTTTAGCAAAGTCTCAGGGTACCAAATAAATGTGCAAAAGACAGTCATATTCTTATACATCCACAACAAACAGGCAGAGAAGCAAATAATGCCATTCACAGTAGATACAAAAAAAAGAAATATCTCAGTATCTTCCTGACCAAAGAAGTTAGAAACCTTTACAGTGACAACTACAAAACACTGCTCAAAGAAATCAAAGATGACACAAACAACTGAAAAATGTTCCATGTTCATAGATTGGAAGAATCAATATGGTTAAGATGTCCATCCTATCAAAGGCAATCTACAAATTCAATGCAATATTCATTAAAATGCCATCATCATTCTTCTCAGACCTGGAAATGACAATACAGAAATTCAACAAAGTGAGAGGAATCACACTTCCAGACTTTAAACTTTCCTATAAGGCTACAATCATCAAAACAACCTTGTATTTGTACAAAAACAGGCATATAGACCAGTGGAACAGGATAGAGATCCTGGAAGCAAAACCTCAATTTCTCAGCCAACTCATCTTTGACAAAGTCCCCACCAATAACCACTGGGAAGAGAAGAACCTATTCAGTAAACAGTGCTGGGAAAACTGGCTGACCACATGCAAAAGACTGAAACAGGACCCCTACCTATCATCTCACACAAAATTCAACTCTAAATAGATTAAAGACATAAACACAAAACTTCAAACTATAAAAGTCTTAAAAAATGCAGGAGACACCCTTACGGAAATTGAAATAGGCAGCCAATTCCTGATCAAAATCACAAATGCTCTTGGCATAAAAGATAAAATAGACAAGTGGGACATCATCAAAATGAAAAACTTCTGCAAAGCCAAAGAAATCATAAAAAGAGTGGGGAGACAGCCCACAGAATGGGGAAAATATTTGCAAACTGTATATCTGACAAAGATCTAACATCCAGAATCTACACAGAATGCAAAGATGCCAAAAGGGAAAAAGCAAACAGCCCTATTAAAAAGTGGGCCAAAGATATGAATAGACATTTCTCAAAAGAAGACATATGAGCAGGCAACAGATACATGAAAAAATGCTCAGCCTCACTAGTCATCAAAGAAATACAAATTGAAACCAACCTGAAATACTGCCTAACTCTAGTCAGGGTGACTATCATCAATAAATCAAAAAACAGCAGATGCTGAAACAGATATGTAGGAAAGGAAACACTTCTACACTGTTGGTGGGATTGTAAACCTCTGTGGAAAACAGTGTGGTGATTCCTAAAAAAAACCTAAAAATCAGCACTCCATATGACCCAGCAACCCCCCTTCTGGGAGATAGGGCTTTTAATGAGGTGATTAAATTAAAACAAGAGCTTGGGTGGATCCTAATCCAATTTGATTGGAGTCCTAATAAGAAGAGGAAACAAACACAAAAGAGACAGCAAGGGCAATTTGCACAGAGAGACCATGTAAGAACAAAGGAAAAAGACAGCCATGTGCAAAACAAGAGAGAGACCTCAAGAGAAACTAAATCTACCAAAATCTTTTTTTTTAAGTTGGAGTCTCACTCCATCACCCAGACTGGAGTGCAGTGGCACTCTCACAGCCACTCCAGCATTGACCTGCTGGGCTCAGGTGATCCTTCTGCCTCAGCCTTCCAAGTAGCTGGAACTACAGGTGTGCTGCACCACCACACGCGGCTAATTTTTTCATTTATTGTAGAGATGAGGTCTTGCCAAGTCGCCCAGGTTGTCCTCGAACCCATAGGCTCTGGCAATCCCCTCACCTCGGCCTTCCAAAGTGCTGGGATTACAGGCTTGAACCACCATGCCTGGCCCCAAAATCTTGATCTTGTACTTCTGACCTCTGGAACTGTGAGAAATAAACTTCTGTTGTTTAATTAACCCTGTCTTTGATATTTTGTTATGACAGCTCTAGGTAACTAATGCATTTAGAGCTATAGACGGACAGACAGATAGATAGGACAAAGAAGGTAGATAGCCAAGCCTTTCACATAGTGGTTAAGAAAAAGACTAGATTATTTAAAATACAAAGAGACATAGAGCAGTGCAAAACTTGGGGCCACCAAACATTCCAGATTGAGTCAGAAGTCGATTTTTATACACTTAAAAATGGTAAGAGTTTTAGGTCAAAAGACAAAAATATGTCCAGAGAATGAATGACTTCTAATCCAAATGTCAAAAACATTACACACTCCTAGGTTACAGGCTTCACATACCATTCCCTTTAGAACGCAGGATTGTATCTTATATCCATACTGGATGAAGATAGGGACAGCTGGAAACTGCCTTCATTCTAAAATTAACATAGTTAACAAAGATGAGAATTGTTTATAAAAGTTCATCCAAAACTTTCATCAAAGCACACACAAAAACACTTTGGAGTCCTTTAGCGAGATTTCAAAAAACATTTCTATTCAAGTTTATTTGGAATATGTAATGTATAAAATATCAGACTAATGTCCACTCTAACATTTGATAATGAATTAGACTAAAAGGTTTTCAAGTTCTAAAATAAATATTGATATAGTCTCAGCTTTAGTGTGCTGTTGCTGCTGTGATAGTGCAATGCTGTATCAATATCATATAGTATAACTTAGTGTCTTCTAAAGATATCTTTCTTTGTCAAAGTTTTGCTCATCACTTTATAAATTACAATTATATAATTCATATCTTGAACATAGTGCTAAAATGATGGAGTGGTTCCAGTTTTGCTCACAATTGATCTTTTAAATTTTTTGCATTTTCTGCTATTAATCATGTTTATTGGCCCAATGTTACTATAAAGAATTATCAGTGTTACCATGTGGTTATTTTAATCATTTATTAAGATATTCCCCTCTCCCCACTATCCTTCTTTATTACAGCATAACAATGTCTTATTGATTTTAACTGGAATTTCAAAGTTTTGAATGTTAAATTATGTTGATGAACCAAACCACATATTACCTTCCTTGATCTTAGGCAGTAACTGTACAACAGCAAACACCTGGATGAAAAAAGAAAACAGTTGATGTAATCATAGGAGTGTTGCACATTCTCAGTGTACATACCAAACCTCAACATAATCAAGGAAATGGTTTCTGGTACATTAAGTCAGTCTACCAAATTCAAACTTTTTTTTTTTTTTACCTTCTAAGTATCTCTGCATTTTAAGTGAATAGCTTATAGCAGGAACTGAACAATTAACTACTTATTTCTTCCCAATTTGATTGGAAAAACTTTGTCTATATAGGCAGGGCCGGGTACCTATCAATCTTTATCTAAACTGCTGAAGAATCTGAGAATTCCTTGTTTGAACTCATCTATTTGGAGAATGGTCAAGACTCCCACTTTTGCTATAGAGATTAACTTTGGCCACAAAGGAGATTGAAAAAGTCCTGAAGAGGAAGTAGATTCCGAGACCTGGGGTAAGAGTGGATGAGTGGGCAGAAAAGTTAAAATTCCTCTCAGAGATTCTAGTACGCAATTTGTTTAAATAAATTTTAGATTTTGAGAGGGGATACCAATTTGGCCTGAAAATATTTCCCTGAAAAGGCTAAAACTCTGAAAACTGCTTTTGTAAATGTGATATTTGAAAAAAGAAATACATATGTTTGTCATTTTTGAGCCTGAAATCCCACTCTGGGAATTGATTCTAAGGAAATAATTCACATAAATGTTTTTTTCATAATGTAGTTTATAGTACTGACAAATTTGAAGCAAAATTAGGGTCCAGTATTTAATAAATTATAGTATATTAACTCAGCAGACCACTTTGTAGCCATTACACTTTGTAAATATTATGCCTAAAGCAAAATGGCAGAGTGTTTATAATGTAAAAATGAGTATACATATAAAGAAAGCCTGGGAGGGAGCACAAATAAGTGAGGATAATTACAATATTGAATTTTGAGAATATAGTGTATTGATTTTTTTTCTACTTCTTTTTTAAACCAGTATATATTTTACAGAATTCCCAAGGGTCTCAGACCAAAAACCCACACAAAGCAGTGTCAGAGTTTTAGGCAGCAGATGGGATAGTGTCAGCCAGGTGGAGATGCTAATGTCACGATTCCAGCATGGGAATGGGGTCAGAACTACTGACCCCTGAATGAATAAAGCACATCAAGCAAGTAGATGGAGCTGCCCGCAAAACCATTTTATTTTCTAAAGCCAGACTATCTGCTACGCAGTGAGTGGAATTCAACTCTTTACCCTTCTGTTTAAAGTATTCTACTTAAAAGAATGTCCTGGGAATAATTCTGTTTTTGTTTCCTGTGTGGTTTAAAACAATGATTCTACTCCACCACCACAGTATGCTAAGTGCGAGATGAAATAGTTATGCCACTGTAGATTATGATGATATAAAGTTTGCACTTATGCACACTTGACTTCACTCTCTAGCATGGATGATCAAAGTAAATACAATTTTAAATTGGAAGCCATGGTTTCCTTTTTTATCCAGTTTACCCTGTACAAAAGCTGTGCTATGTATAAACAGATTTGCTTTTTTGAGGGCAGGGTCTGATAAAATAAGTAAATGGCTCTCAACATGTAATTGCTTTAAAAAGCTATTTGTTATGATTCCAGGTTTCTTGAGTCTATCAGTAAGCCAAGAGGGCTTATATTATTAGAGAGAATGTTTTAGTTTCCCTAGTAGTGGATTAAATCCTCAGACTTTGAAAGTTTTTGAAACTACCATAAAAATGAGTTAACAATAATAACTTTCTAAGAGGTAGTGTTAATGATTACAGCCCTAAAAAAGAATGAAAAAGCCTCATCATGTAAAGTTCTCAAATTGAAATATGTTCCCATAAATATTTTTCAGGTGGAAGTGAATCTTCCTGGGATAAGGATAAAATGCAATCTCCTCTTTTTGCTCCTGGACCTCAACATGGAATTGCTCATGCAGCCCTATCTGGCCAGCAAAGCCTTGGGGGTACGCCGAACCTCAATCCACTGCAGCAGAACCACCTGCTAACCAATAGTATGTATATTGTTCTCCCCATTGTGTTGAGTAAAATACTATCAAAGACCAACTAGACACCTTGGACTACCAGGGCTTAGTATCATTTTCTTCAATATGGTTTAACAATTGAAATCATAAGAGGAGGTAAACAGGAAGTCATTTGAACTTGTGTGATTCATAGAATAGAAGTACATGGAAGGTTATGTAGCAGAGTAGTTTTTTTTTAATTTTGTTTTTTTTTTTTTGAGTTGGAGTCACTCTGTCACCCAGACTGGAGTGCAGTGGCCGGCCGGCCACCGCAGCCTCGACCTGCTGGGCGCCGGCGATCCCTCCGCTTCAGCCTTCCAAGTAGCTGGAACTACAGGCACGCGCTACCACGCCCAGCTAATTTTTTATTTTATTGTAGAGATGAGGTCTCACCAAGTTGCCCAGGTGCGTCTCGAACCCATGGGCTCAGGCAATCCACTCACCTCAGCCTCCCAAAGTGCTGGGATTACAGGCTGAGCCACCGAACCCGGCTGCTTTTTTTAATTTTAAAATGTTTTCATTGTAAAATTGTGGGGTACATTTCAGGGTTATGTATACAAATATTCACTGTGCAGGTACCCTTTTTGATGAGGTGTGCAGCCCCTTTCCCAGGAAGATTTACACTACTGTCAATTCCACCTCCCTGACCCCCTTCCCTTCCACAGTTTCCCACTACTGTCAATCCTTTTCTTACAGTATTGCAGTAGTTGTTCAAGGTCCACTTATGAGTGAGAACGTGTGATACTCGGTTATTTATTTCTGGGAAAGATCACTCAGGATTATAGACTCTAATTCCATCCAGGTTGCTACGAAGTTCATGATTTTGTTCTTTTTTATGGTTGCATAATATTCCATTGTGTATATATACCATATTTTTTTATCCAGTACTCTTTTGATGGGCAGCCCAGCTGGTTCCATGTTCTTGCTATTGTGAATAATGCTGCAATAAACATACATGTGCAGGTATCTGTTTTATAGAGTGATTTGAGTTCTTCCAGATATATTCCCAGTAGGGCGTTGCAGGGTCATATGGAGGGTTGATTTTTAGAACTCTTAGGAATCGCCACACTAATTTCAACAGAGTCTATACTAGTTTACACTACCACCAATAGTGTAGAAGTTTTCCCTTTTTGCCACATCTGTTTTTTTTGGGCTTTTGGGGGGTTTTTTTGAGTTATTGATGATGGCATTCTGACCGGAGTTAGGTACTATCTCAATGTAGTTTTAATTTGCATCTCTTTGATGACTACTGAGGCTGAACATTTTTTCATGCATCTGTTGGCTGCTCATATGTCTTCTTTTGAGAACTGTCTATTCATATCTTTTGCCCACTTTGTAATGGGGCTGCTTGTTTTTTTTCTTTTCAGCACATTTCAGGTCCTAGTAGATCTTACATGTTAGGCCTTTGTCAGACATGGAGTTGGCAAATATTTTTTTTCCCCAGTCTCTGGGCTGTCTCCCTGTTCTCTTGATGATGTTTTTGGCTTTGCAGAAGCTTGTCAGTTTGATGAGGTCCCACTTGTATATCTTATATCTTATGGCATGGGCACTTCAGGTTTTGGCCAGGAATTGGTTGTCACTTCCAATTTCCTTAAGAGAGTCTCCTGTATTTTCTAAGGTTCTTATTGCTTGAGGTTTCATGCTTAGGTCTCTGATCCATTTAGAGTTGATTTATGTGTATGGGGATAGGTAGGGGTCCTGTGTTAATCTTCCGCATGTGGTCAGTCAGTTTTCCCAGCATTATTTACTGAATAGATTCTCCTCTCCCCAGTGGTTGGTGGTGGAGGCTTTGTTGAAGATGAGTTGGTTGAGAAATTGAGGTTTTATTTCTGGAATCTCAATTCTATTCCATTGCTCTATATGCCTGTTTTTGTACCGATACCAGGCTGTTTTGATTATTGTAGCTTTATAATAAAGTTTAAAGTCTGGGAGTGTGATACCTCCTGCTTTTTTTTTTTTTTTTTTGCTGGGAATTGTTTTGGCTATTCGTGGTTATTTATGTTTCCATATGAGTTTCTGTATTGTTGTTTCTAAGTCTGAGAAGAATGTTGCTGGTAATTTGATGGGTATTGCATTGAATTTGTAGATTGCCTTAGGTAGAATGGACATCTTAACAATGTTGATTCTTCCAATCCATGTGCATGGAATATTTTTCCACTTGTTTGTGTCATCTTTGATTTCTTTGAGCAGTGTTTTGTAGTTTTCATTTTAAAGGTCTTTCACATCTCTGGTTAGGGAGATGCCAACATATTTCATTTTTTTGTGTGTGGCTATTGTGAATGAAATTGTGCTTTTTCTTTCAGGTTTCTGATTGTTTATTATCAGTGTATAGAAATGCAATTGTTTTTTCACATTCATTTTATACCCTGAGACTTTGCCAAAGTCCTTCATAAGTGCAAGAAGTTTTTTGACAGATTCTCTTGGGTTTTCAAGTTATAGAATCATGTCATCTCCAAAGAGAGATAACTTGACTTCCTCTTTTCCTATTTAGATACACCTGACTGCCTTCTTTTCTCTGATTGCTCTAGCCAGGACTTCCAAAACTATGTTGAACAGGAGCAGTGAGAGTGGGCATTCTTGTCTTGTTCCAGTTTTCAGGGGAAATGGTTCCATTTTCTCTCTGTTTAGCAGTATGCTGGCTGTGGGTTTCTCATAGATGGCTCTTACTATTTTGAAGTATGTTCCATCTATGCTTAGATGTTCAAGGGTTTTTTATCAAAAAAAGGGTACTGGATTTATCAAAACCTTTTTCTGCATCAAATGATATAATCATGTGGTTTTTGGTTTTAGATCTGTGGATGTATTTATTTACATTTATGGTCTTATGAATGTTGAACCAGTCTTGCATCCCAGGGATGAAGCCTACTTGGTAGTGGTGGATGATTTTTTAGATGTGCTGTTGTATCCGGTTTGCTAGGATTTTGTTGGGAATTTTATCATCTGTGTTCATCAAGAATATTGGCCTGTAGTTTTCTCTCTTTGTTGGGTCTTTACCTCGATTGGATATCAATGTGATGTTAGCTTCATAAAATGATTTTGGGAGAGTTCCATTTTTCTCAATCGCCTGGAATACTTTCAATAGGATTGGTATCAGTTTCTCCTTATATGTTTTGTAGAATTCTGCTGGAAAGCCATCTGGTCTGGTCAAAGGCTTTTTTATGTAGGTAGTTTTCTTATGACATAGTCAATTTCCTTGATTTTTATCGGTCTATTTAGGGTCTCAGTTTGTTCTTGTTTCAACCTAGGGAGGTTGTGTGATATCAGAAAGTCCTCCATTTCCTTTAGGTTTTCAAGTTTGTTTCCATACAAGTGTACATAGTAGTCTCTGATAATCTTTTGTATTTCTTCAGGTTCAGATGTGACTTCATCTTTTGTGTTTCTGATTGTGCTTATTTGGGCTTTTTCTCTTTTTTTCTTAGTTAGTCTAGCTAGGGGACAATCAGTCTTGCTTATCCTTACAAAGAACCAGCCTTTTGTTTCACTGATTTTTTATATAATCTTTTTGTCTTCTATGTCCCGGATTTGGGCTTTTATTTTGGTGATCTGAATTTTTCTGCTGAAGTTAGGGTTTTGATGGTCTTGCTTTTCCAGCTTCCTTATGCAACTTGTTAGGCTATCAACTTGTGATTTTTCCATTTTCTTCATGCGTATTTGTAATGATATGAATTCCCCTCTCACTACTGATTTCAAGGCATATCAGAGATATTGGTAAGATGCTTCTTCATTTTCATTTGTTTCCAGGTATCTTTTAATCTCTGTTTTGATTTCTATGGCGACCTAGGAGTTACTTAGCATCATGCTGTTTAGTGTCCATGTCTTTGTGGATTTTGGGGGAACTTTGTTGGTGTTTATATCTATTTTTATCTGCTGTGGACTGAGAAGGTGCATGGCAAAATTTCAACTTCATGAAATTAGTTTATGCTTGATTTATGGCCAAGGATGTGGTCTATCTTAGAGTACATTCCATGTGGTGTTGATTAGAATGTATATTCTGCGGTTGTTGGGTGGAGTGTTCTGTAGGTATCAATTTGGTCAAGAGTCACATTGAGGTTCCAGTTCTCCCTGCTGATTTTTTTGTACTGGTGATCTGTCTAAGGTTGTGAGTGGGGTTTTAAAGTCCCCAGCTTTGATAGTGTTAAAGTCAATATCTTTTTTGAGTTTGCCTAGAAGCTGCTTTATGAAAGTTGGTGCTCCTATGCTGGGTGCATATATGTTTAGGATGGATATTTCATGTTGATGGATTGAACATTTTATCATTATGTAGTGTCCTTCTATATCTTTTTAAATTTTTGATAGCTTCAGGGGTATTTTTTCTGATATTAAAATTGCAACTCCAGTTTCCTTTTGTGTTCCGTTCACCTAAAATTTTGCTTCCCATCCTCTTACTTTGATTCTGTTAGTGTACTTTCTGGTGAGATGAGTCTCTCAGAGACAATAAATTGTTGCCTTATGATATTTTATCCAGTTTTGCCATTCTATGTCTTTTTGGTGGTGCATTTAGTCCATTCACATTGAGGCTAATTATTGCAATGTGAGAGTTTATCCTTCATGAGTTTTTATACAGTTGTTGTTGTTCCTGCTTGTGTGTTGTCTTTCTTTTGATTTTTACATTGATTCAGACGTGTTTTCAATCTTTTTCCTGCCCTCTTGTGAAGAATGTTGTCATTCTTTTTTCCTTTTCTTCTGTGTTTAATACTTTCTGAAGTGCTTCTTGTAGCGTTGGTCTAGAAATATCGTAAGATCTTAGGGATTGAATGTCTGGGAAAGATTTTACTTCTCCCTAGCTGATGAAGCATATCTTAGCTGGGTATGTTATTATTGGCTGAAATTGTTTATCTTTGAGAACATTGAAGATTGGGCTCCACACTCTCCTAGCCTGAAGTGTTTCTGTAGATAAATCTGCTGCTATTCTAATTGGTCTTCCCCATCAGGTAGTCTGACCTTTTTCTCTTGATGTCTTTAGGATTTTTTCCTTTATACTTACCTTTTTT